CTTTTTTTTTTTTTTTTTTTTTTTTTTTTTTTTTTTTTTTTTTTTTGCATAAAAGCACTATCCTCTCCCCAGAGCCTGCCTGGAGCGAAGGCATGGTCTGTACAACTGCAATTATTTCGAAGAACAGATGGAGTGAGGAGCAGAAAGTCTGTTAATAGTAATAGAAATGCTACATGTTAACCTGGACAGCACACGATGACAGTCCCATGACTACACGTTCTGTTCCCACCAGCTGGGCTCCGAGCGGAGCCGAGAGATTCAGCAACGCCGTGCTCAGCTCCCCACCCTCCCCAAAGTTAGAGCTCAAATTCCTTCACACTTCCAGCGTAGGGTTTTTGGGTTGTCGGGCTTCTTCTTTTCCCCCCTCCCTCCCCGCCCCTTCCTTCTCCTCCTTCCCATTAAACGGCGATTTCAGCGCCACACGTTGCTGGGGGATTTTTTTTCTGGGATGCTGCAGCTGTGGGAGTTGGTGGGGAGGGAGGTGGTGGCTCTGCCCTGAGGTCCTGACCTTCGGCCTCACGTGGTGACACCATCACACCCCCTTGTCCCATATCTGTGTGGTTGGTGTAACCTCCTCCAGGCTGGGATTATAATGGACCAGGGCAGTGGCACGGCCGTGCTCCTGGGCAGGGTGGTTGCATGAGTTTGGGATTTTCTCGGCAACTGTTGCAAGCTGGTTGCTAAATGAGTTGAAATCCATGTTTTCTGGTTAAATTGGTACTTCTCGTGGAGGTGGAGTCTGCAAGGCGGGCTGAGGGATGCGTGGCTCTGGTGGGATGCCCAGGAAAGGGGGTACAGGGGGTCTCTGGCTACGGCAGTACCCCAGGGCTCACTTGCCCCATTTACCCCAACCAAGGGTTGGGAAATAGAGCAAAAAAATATTGTGTCAGCCCCAACAACCTCGCTGTGAAAAATCCCAGCCTGGTTTCACAAGCGACCAGGGGATGTAGCCACGGAGCTCCAGCTAAATTCAGTGGGAATTGCATGGCTAAATCCCACAGCTGTTTATGAAACCTCCGCCCTGGAGCGGTGAGTGGTGCCACTGGTGAGCTGACAGACGCACCTGGAGGTTTTATTAGGATATAGATCCCTTAATCTGGGTGCTTGCAGGATAATCTGGTGCCTGAGGTCCTGCCAAATCCCCGGAGATCAGCAGGTTTTCTATCCACAGCCTCCCTGCAGAGGTCACTTCAAACCCAGCTCCATCCTCAGCAGACCAAAATATCCACGTTGTCTCAGTGCTGATGGCACCTTTGGGTGCTGGGCACCTGCCGTGATGACCTGGGGTGGGCTGTGGGAGTTTTCTGGGGGCCAAGCCAGTATCATCCATAAATCCCAGCTCTCTCTGCCCACTTCCATCACCCAGAAGTGGTACAGGACCCACTGGATGTGTGGTGAGGCAGCAGCTTTGCCTTCTTGCAGCATCCCTGAAACATCTTTTAGTTATTTTGGGATGTGTGAGGTAGAGTTTGGCTCCTCACAGCCACCCCCATGGACCCTTGGATGTCCACCCTGTCCCTGCCCACCCAAAAATATCCCATCACCTTCTCCCAAGGATTGTGGTTGTGCCACGGTGGGACGTGGTTGGAGGATGGTTGGAAGCAGAGGGAATTGCCCTTGGTGCCTTTTATTTAGAGGAGGCAGAAAACACATTTTTTTCCTGTATTTAAAGAGATTTAGACCACGAGGAGTAAATCACCCCAAGCAGGTTTGTGGCCTCCCTTGGTGCACGTTCCTCGCTCACCTCTGCGCGTTTTACGTGGATCAACCATGAAAGTGCTCTTGGAAAGCGTGGAAAAACATGGATTTGGGGGCTGATAGAGCCCCTTGGGAGGGGCTCTTCCTTGCTCACACACCATGCCCACAGTGCTCTGCTCTCCTCTCTTTGCAGAACAAGAAGTACGTGCTGGTCATGGTGGATCCCGACGCTCCCAACAGAGCCAACCCCCGGCACCGGTACTGGAGGCACTGGGTGGTCACCGACATCCTGGTGAGTCCCCTGTGGGGTCCATGCATTGGGGTCCAGGCAGCTTGGGGGCCATTCCCAAGCATCAGGGTGCATCCTGGTCCTGCCTGGGAGAGCTGGATTCCCATAGGATGCACATCCCTCTCGGTGCAGCAGCATCTCAGCGAAATCCCGAGGGACGAGTGTTTGCCAGAGAAATGTAAATGGTGCTGGGCGTGTAGGTAGGGAAGTGCTTCCTCAGGCTATATAGAGCCAGGCTGGTCCAAAAATATTGCTGTTGGGGTTTTTAGTGTTTTTTTTCTTTTTTTTTTTTTCCTTCTTCTTCTAAGGAAATGCTGGGAAAAAAAAAATACCACTTTGCCAACTCCCCACCACCAGTTTTCTGTGTGGAGACAACCCGTCGTTTCAAACAGCTCTTGCTGCCGGGTGGTTTTTGTGGTTAAAAAAGTGGTTTGGGTGAAAAATCTATATTCCCTTTCTGGTTTTTATTTTTTGGGAGGAGAAAAGCTTATGACTCTGGTGAAGCAAACAGGAGGAAAATGGGTTTGGGCTGAATTCTGGTGCTTCCCAGCTCTGTGCTCCTTACCCCTGCTCCCAAAATGTCCCGGTGTGTCGTTGCTCTCCTTCCAGAAATATTTTGGAAAATCAGTTTGTTCCTCTCCTGCTTGCTTTTATCCCTTAAAAAATGAGATGTTTCAGCCCTGAATCAATCTAACTAATAATCTTAGTACTAAAGCCTAATTAAGATATCAATTAATTTGCAGCGAGCATTTAACAAGAAATATCTCGTCGTTCTCCTCTATTATTCTCTGAAATTACTGCTGAGGGCTCTTTGTACAGATACCTTAATTAGACTTTTTATTGTTAATGGGAATATTAAGCAAATTAAAATCGGATATTAATACTTTCCATGAGTTTCATAATTGGCTGAAAAATAGAAAGCGTTCGGAATAATTGCAGGAATTTGTGTACAGGGCTTATTTTTTTGTTGTTGTTGTTTTGTGTTTTAATCCTTCACAGAAACCCTTCTGCAGTTCTAACAACAGGGTCCTGAAAGTCTCTCATTAATTTTAATATTTACTGAACACGAAGGAGCCCAAGCTCTTGTTTTTCCTTCTGTACCCAGATCCTTCCGAGGTTCTTGCTAATTATTGTGGTTTTCTTTTTTTTTGGTTTTTTTGAGTATAAAATCATTTAAGCAAAGAAGGGACTTGCAGGATTAAAACCTTCAGCACGAACGGAAGGTGCTTTATTTGTTTCCCCCCTGGCATTCGGGCGATTCAGTTTGTGATATGTAAGGTCAGAAATTCCTTGTCAGGCCACGCTGGAGGGCGGGAAAAGGAGATTTTTTGGGAAGGGAAAGGGTTTTCCCATGCCCAGGTGATTTGTCTCTGCAGGGATGGGGCCGATCCCAACCTCAACTATTCCTTAAGCTTTCTTATCATGATATATATATAAAATATATATAAATATATATAAATATATATATATACACACATATATGAGCAGGGATTTGGGCTCGATGATCCTCATGGTCCCTTCCAACATGAGCTATTCTATGAATCTCTGTGATATGATATATAAAATGCATATATTGATATGATCTCTGTAATGATGGGATAAATATATCCCATCTATCTCTCGTGGGTGTGTGTACACGGATCTCTCATCTACACACACACACACACAGCAATGCGTATAAATCCCCCCTGCACTATAAACCACCCAAACCAGCACCGTCCTGGCAGGGCACTGGGACAAAACCACTTCACTCAAGCCCTGAGGTCAGTGCCTGTTGCTAGGGGTGCAGAAGGGGGGTCCCAACGTGTCTCACCGGGGCTGCAGTGGGAGTTTTCCCAAGCCCCCAGCCCCAAATGGCTGCGACGGAGCCGACGGGCTCAGACACACATGGTGTCTCGTTGAAATGCAGATCGTTGGGGGGTATATGGGAGTCTTGGCTCCGAGGAGCTTCAGCTGACAGGCTTATTTGCACACTGGCTCTAAAATAACCGTGTAGGCTTTACATGACACCTTCTGTTGCTTTGGTGCAGAGAGGGGCTTTCAAGTGCCTTCCTGCGGGAGGGATGGGGCGGCCGGTGCCAGGGCTGGGGGCTGCCGGAGCCCCCGCGCCCGGCAGTGCCCCGGCATCACCCCAGCAGCACCCAACATCACCCCAGCTTCGCCCAGCATCACCTGGGTGTCACCCCAGCATCGCCCGGCATCACTTGGGTGTCACCCCAGCATCGCCCAGTGTCACCCCAGCATCACTCCAGCATCACCTGGGTGTCACTCCAGCAGCACCCAGCATCACCCCAGCATCGCCCAACATCACCTGGGTGTCACCCCAGCATTGCCCAGCATCACCTGGGTGTCACCCCAGAATTGCCCAGCATCATCTGGGTGTCACCCCAGTATCACCCAGTGTCACTCCAGCATTGCCCAGCATCACCTGGGTATCACCCCACCATTGCCCAGCATCACCTGGGTGTCACCCCAGCAGTGCCCACCATCACCTGGGCATCATCCCAGCATCGCCCAGTGTCACCCCAGCATCGCCCAGTGTCACCCCAGCATTGCCCAGCATCACCTGGGTGTCACCCCAGTATTGCCCAGTGCCACCCCAACATTGCCCAGCACCCCCCCAGAATCTCTGGGTCATCATCCCAGCACCAACCCAGCATCACCTGGGTATCACCCCATCATTGCTCAGCATCCCCTCATCATCACTTGGGTATCACCCCAACATTTCCCAACATCTCCTCAGCGTTGCCCAGCATTCCTCCAGGACCACCAGCATCACTCAGGTGTCACCCTGGCTTTGCCCTGGCATCATCCCAGCACCCCCAAGCATCACTGGGTATCACTGTGGCTTTGCCCTGGCATCATCCCAGCACCCCCCAGCATCACTCGGGTATCATCCCGGCATCACTCGGGTGTCTCCTCAGCGTCAACCCGGCTTTGCAATCCCCCAGCTTGGAGGGAAGCGGCTCCAGCAGCACTAAAATGCCACTTCTAGGTGCTGCAGTACTTTGGCACGCCACCAAGTTTGGGATCTGGCTCTGAATTTGCTCTCCCAGGTGGGGTTTGGGGATGGAACGTCCCATCCCATCGGTGCCGTTCCTTATCAGCCGCTGCTCCGTCGCTGCTCCGATTGTCAAACATGAGAGATGCTTTCACTCCTATTCAAAATAATTTAAATAAAAATGTTGCTACAAAGTGGAATAATATCTTTTGATGAATGTTTTTAAAGCCCTTTAGGTTTTCATGGTAATTTGCAGTGTAAAATTATTTAGAGATAAGAGCCAAATTAGCTCTTATAGGCGGAGGTCGATATGTCCCGTTATCCATGGAAGCAGTGTTTAAATATAATCAGCCTTTACTCTAATGCAGCATAATTGTTCATTTGAAATAGCTTTTTTTTTTTTTTTACTCCATTCAATGAGTCATTAAAATATTCAAAGGATAATGCAGTGAATTGGAAATGAATTTATCACATTATCCTGTATATACTGTAGAGCATCAGGTAACCAGGCAGAGTCGGAACCAGTTTACAGCGAAACCCAGTAAACAAGGTTTTCCATTTTGTATTCAGCGGGGAAAGAAAAAGAAGGGAGAAAATACTGCCCTTCAAATGGAAAGCTTTCTGTCTTTATTCCCCCTCCTTGGGGAGGAGGAAGGGGGAGGGCGAGAGCAGTGAATTTGTACTCCACTAAAGCCTCGCTGCTTTAACTTTATTTTTATCAAAATATGTTTGTAACAGAAAGTCGTTATGGAAACCAGTTCTGCCAGCCGGGAGAAATCCTGCGCCAGGCTGGAGCGGAGCGGGACCCGCCGGGCGCTGCTGCCACGGGCACAGCTCGGCTCAGCTGCCTCCACAGACCCCTTCCCAGGGCAGGGCATGGGGGCAACTGAGGCACGGAGCTGCCAGAGTCAAATCTGGGGTCAGAGACAGGAACTGTGTCCCACATTTTTGAAGGAGAGCCATTCCCACCCATCGCCCATCCCGGTAGTGGCTTTTCCCCCCACAGCGGGTGCTCCGGGTGCAGCTCCCGGTGCTCCAATCACTCCCATGGCTTTGTGGAGCGGAGTGGGGAACACATGGATGCAGGATTGGCAGGTTTTGATGCCCAGGGACCGCAGCATCCCTGCTCCCAGAGGTCCTGGCACCACTCTTGGTCTTCACCGCGGTGTCTTCTCCGCTTGTCAGCGCGTTCCTCGTCGCCGGCTGATAAACAGGCTCCGGGTTGCAAGTGTCACCATAGAAACAGGTGCTGTCTTAAGCAAACAAGGGCTTTATTAACCTTAAAAATTATGGGATTTCTGCACCAGGAGAGGCTGGAAACAGAGCTGTGGGGGGCCAACTGCTCGTCCAACCTGCCCCGTGTCCCTGTGCCCATCCCAAAGGGACAGCGATGCCTGTGCCCCACAGGAGACTTGTCCTCTCTAGCACTTGGCACCTGGTTCCAGCTTCTCCAGAGTGCTGGGGTTTATCAGAAATGGTAGAGATCAGCTGTTAATTGCTGGTTGCTGTTATTCCTGCTCTTCGGCTGCCGCGTGAAGAGTTGTTGTAGGGACACCTTGGGGACACTTTTGCAGTGCTCATGATCACACTCAGCATCCCAGCAGGACAAAAATCTTGTCAGAGCAAGGAATGATTTTTAGTGGGTGAATTGATGCTAGAGGAGAAAAAACCCCCAGCTTTTGGGTATCCTGGAGACAGGAGGGATCCACATTTTGGGAGATGATGGAGTGTTGGGACAGGTTTCCTTGCCTGTCCCATCCAGCATCCATGATTCCCATGGATCTGTGACACTGTGGAACCCCTGAAACCTGCCGTGCCAGTGGGATCTGCTGCCTCACTGGAGGGGAGAAGGGGCAGATAAAGTAGTCGGTGCCGTGGTATTGTTCCTCCTTGCTGGAGCCCTCTCGACTCTCCTTTTTGGTGATGAAACCGAGGGTTTGAAAGGGAAAGAACAGAGAGAAATGTTGGTTTAATTGATGACTTGGCTCCTTGGAATAGTCAG